TCCAATTTAATTGTTCAGTTACAAGAATATAATTGACTAAATTAATCTTAAGATACTTAATTCATTAAAAATTGGTTGGAAATATTTATATTAATACTTGACACGTGTTTTGATACGTTATTAAACTTTTAACTAGCTATAATCAGTGAACTTTAATTTCAGAGATTTTATGAGGTTTTAAAAAAGACAAATCGTACACTGCCGCTATGTGGGATTTGCTGTACATATTGCAGTCATTAAAATTTCACAATTATTCAAGATCAGAGGGTTAKTTTTTATTTAAATTTATCAAAATATATATAATAATTATGACTTCAAACGATGATACTAAAAAAATTGAGTGTATTTTGGCAAATTTAACAATTTATAATATCTAAAATTATTTACAAAAAAATTACWTATATATATATATATGTATATATATATACAACACATTAAGTTGAAATTTACACAGAAATGTMTGTGAACATTATTTATCTTAATATTTGTGACAAATTTATTAACTTTTACATGCAAAATTAACTAGCATACATATTCTGTGTAAATTTACATTGAACCGTTAATTGAAATTTAACAATATTTTTTACAGTGTAAACAATGGAGTAATAGAATATAATTTGATAACGTTTAAAGTATATTGTTTATTGTGTACTGTAAGAGTCAGTGTACAATATATTATATTAACGAATATAGAAAAAATTATATATTCGTACAAAGACTTAGAGTTTTTTACACTCAYAAAAATATGAAACTAATATTGAAGAGAAGAATTACAACAATCAATCATATAATTTCTGTGGTCATTACAATAATTAGGGATGTCTATCAATTTGATTCCCAGACATAGATCATAATAAAATATAGCTGTAAACTACTATAGCTACTATACAGTCATAAAAAAAATCATTCAATTTATAAAGCAATAATAAATACAACTTAACTGGTTTGAATTATTACTAGTGTATGTTGTATGTAAGACTAGACAAAATTATATGTAAGTTTAATGTAGCATAGTTCATTACATAATAATATTAAAATATCACAGAACAAATTTATTTTCTATAAGCTGTATCATTAAGTGAAATTATTATTGATACACTTAAAAGTTAAAATATCAGTCTAACGAAAATCAGATGAAAACAAATTATTTTATTTAAAGAGATATATTGAATTATATTCTAATCCTAACTTATCGTAACAGGCAGCTGACGTCTCAAATCAGAATTTATTTTGTTGCATACTTCACCCAATTATTTAGATACCTATTTTAAAAATATATTATTGATTTGTTTATTACACAATTGGTATATATACTGTACCTATATACCTATGTATTTTTGTGATTAACAAAGAATTAWATACAAAATTTTAGATTTTGAACAAAGCAATGAATGTATTGATCATATTTTTTGTATAGTTAAACAATTTGAAAATATAATATACAAGGCCTCGTACGTAATTATTTTTAAAATTCATATATTTCGACAAAAATGAATAAAAAGAAATGTTAATCATAATAACAATTTTATTTAACAATACTGCATTTACCTCGAGTTACATGCATATTGTATACTTAACATACATATTCATAGCGTAATATGACTTAAGCTTATAATCGATAATAGGATTCTAATTGAAAATGAAAATTTAGGAATACTGTGGTGTCTATTTTTCGAATTTTCTGCAATTCTATAAAAATTTTAAAAATATAAGCGGAGATGAGCTTGTGAGCTTTTTTCGTTTAGTCTACGAGTTGGTCGAGACTTTTGACTACYCTTATTAAAAACTAAAATGACACCATTGTACACTTTTAACTCTCAAGTTTATGAAATATTAATCCCTACCGTAATTCATATATATATAGACGTATGGAATTTGATGCAGTGAAATATATTATTTTAAAAGTTAGGTATTTGAATTAGGTATGTTTTTTTTTATTTCGTTGTTTATTATTATCAAAAAATAATTATTGAAAACTGTTGTGCAATTTGTTTGTTAAAACTAACTGTATACTATATAATCCATACAATTCTTTATCCGTGGTGGAAGTGGGGTCCAGACACCTATACWTCCTGARTTAAAGACGGCCCTGTTAAATTGTGCTTAAACAAWAAAAAAATATTAAAGTTTTTCATTTATCGAAAGAATAATAAATGTTCAACACAACATATTTCTGCTTTAACTATCATTTAACTATCATCTCAAGCACAATTTATTACACATATAAATTTGAAGGAAAAATCAAAAGTAATTATATAATTTTAAATTAGGTAAATCATTTTCTGAATCGATCGATTATCTCACATATCTAACAGATAATACAATTACAAAAGAGTCTTGCCCTATGACGTCGCATGTTGTTTTCAATAKACAATAATTCTTCGTATAACTATTTATTTACTTATGTGAGTAAACACAACACCTATTGAATTTTTCTTGGAATTGAATTTATAATTTCAAACTAAAACAYTATCACTTTTTGTTTACTGTGCTCCTGCTTTTATGCCCTCCTCCACATTTACACTTGAGTTATTTCTTTAGAGTTTTTATGATAAATCATGAGGTACACATTATAATGTATGCATTTTAACTAAAATATATATATATGATTTTACAGTCAGTCCGGACGTTAGAACTCGATGAAAATTAATAATATTTTCACTGTTTGCATGATGATATTATTAAAGTTACCATCAACAATTTTAATAGAAATCAATAAAGTTGTAAAACGTATTCGTATCTAATTTTTTTTTTTTTGATTCTAATCTTAAAATATTACAGCACACATGATGCTATTACAAGTAATAATTTTTTAACACGTATCTAATAATAATATAAATATTTTAAAAAAAAATTGTTCGTTTAAAATGTTTATACCGATATTATAAGCACTCTGTATACGTTTTTTTTAGACAAGTAAAATGTTGAAAGATAAGTTTGAATATGTATGATATATTATTCATAATTAATGGTAGAAATAACATAAAACACCTTCATCAATAAAATTGTAATTTCTGATTTTATATTAACCAAACTACTTTGTTATGTATTTATTAAGAGCTCACTATCCTCGCCCTCGAGTTGTCTCAAAATAAATTGTTAGCAAAAAACATACTATAAAAATGATATATATATATATATATATATATAACCTATAACTTTATACATCGAGTAAATATTTAACCACAAGGTTAATTTTATTTAAGCTACATCAAATATAATTGCTGTCGTTACTATTAAGTACGAGTATAAATGTAATACTTAAACCCAGCAATGGCTTAATCTGGCATAAACATTTTTATAYTCCGTTGATATGTGAATTAAGCCAACTCATTTAGTCTATACTCTTACTCGTTCCGCAAGTCAGGATAAAGTTATTGTGATTTTATTTAGTAAGTACCTATAATAATTGTATATAATTAGGATTTATTTGTGTATGAAGTAAGTAAMGCTCAGAGAGCAGATTGTACAGCACAAAARCAAACTAAAAAATATAAGACAAACATTTTAAAACACATAATATTCTAATTCTTTGACTTAAGGCCATTATAATTTATAATATACCATGCTAAATATCTAAATAACTTATACCTGACATTTGTTGTTGATGTTATTAAAGTTCAATAAAAAAAAAAAAAATTAAAAAATTGTATTCTATTATTATGTAGGTATACATTTAAAATAGTCAATGATTATTTTTTAAGAATCAACAATGTGAATTTGAACGTTAATTATTATGACGWTTTTCGTTACTTTGTCATCAAATCAATTATACAGCTACTACAGCCCTGTATATTATGCTAAGAATTTTACAAATACTCATYCATGAAAAATATTTATTTTTTAAAGGTCAAGTGGGTTCAATACCAAATCCCCTACCTACAGGTTGTTTGCTAAAATTATTKTTCTTGTTGGTCATAAATAAACATATTTTAATAATCGTTCGATGCACTGACTTTCATTCTTAACAACTAATTTATTATCTGTGATTCATAATATTTAAATTATTGATATCATTAAATAAATCGAATTAAATATTCAACTATTGATTTTTTGTATAAAAATCAATCTATGGTCATAAAATAGAATGGAATTCGAATTAACAGGAAAAAAACTATACAGCAGAAGAGACGATAGACCGCAAGTTTGAAAATTAAACATTATTGTAATCGGGAGTTTTCATATTCTATGTAAGTATAGATAAGTATCTCTATAGTTTTGGGGCAGTGCAATGTATTAAAATACACATACAAGTACTATAATATTATTTGTACCGCAGATTACGAAGTTTAACGATTCGGACGCTAGTAAAGAAATCTAAATAAAGAGTACACCAGATGGCACTAGGAGTACGGAATTTCCATAGTTTAAAATAATTTACTATTTTTCGTATACCTCGTTCGTTATCGAAAACATATTTTTGACCTGACGATGTCTAACATCTGTATTAGATTATAACACAGGATTATGACTTAAATTTTTTACTCGAAAACATGAATCCGGGACGCATGTGTGATAATATTGCTCAACTTGGTCGATATTTTTGTTTTGTCCATTCAATTTTTAACCGAATCTTTGGTAACACCACAAAATGGCAGTCGCCGACAAAATGTATGACTAAAARTAATCAAAAAAATTGAACATTTGGGCTCCGTCGTAACCCACCTAATAATTAGTTCTAAATATATATACATAGGATTTACGCTTTTTTCGAGTACGAAAACGATCCTCTACTATAATGTTGATATGGTTTGTTATTACTCAAATAGTTATTCGTTTTCTTCTTCCTCACGCTGAAAACTGTAAAAGTATGACTTTTTTTTTACTATTCACAGTCCTCGCCGTATGATAAATTAGAATGCAGCTTAAGTTGCCTATTGTGCGCCTGCCAAACAATACACACTGTGATATTTAATAATATTAATAACATTGTGAATATTAATTATTCTATTCTATTCTAAGTCAATTATTGTATTAATCAAATCACATATTATTTACAGATACATTCAGTACACTCTCGTCATTCGTCGTCTAGAGGTCACGCGACAAGTGCGCATTCAAACCATTGGYGAAACATAGAGGGCGACATAGGTGAACGAGAGGGTCGATCGAGTACGATGTCATTCGAATTATTTTGGTAAGCCACATAATATTATTCTTTATTTTATCTACATGGTATGTCTTATGTTATATTGTTGTTAGGTATATAAAAAGTTTTTTTTTCGTATTCCATGTACACGTAGCAGTTTTTAAATTTCTTTATTTGTAGGAAATGTGTGTAAGTAGGTATAGTAAGTCGGACAATTTACTCTTTTTTTGTTTGAAGTCGAAACATAATTTTTCTACGACGTATAGATGGCGTGATCCATACAATATACAATACAATTTAATGGTCCACATAATACATATTAAGCCCTTAGTATATATTATATTATAATAACAATAATTTGATCCACGACATGCGTTCATTATAAATTATAATATACATAGCCAAACCAAAATAACACGAAATGCGCATTTTAAAGTGAAAACTTATGAACACGCACTGGCGAACAATACTAAAATTTCAATTCGATTATAATATAAGAACAGGTAGTAACAATGATATTTCATTCTATGGCGTGTTAAAAGTGCGTTTTGATTATAATTTATGTAGGCACCCATTATATTTAATAAACCCCACCTATTGAATAAAAAAAATAGGCCAAAAAACGTATTAACTTAAGATTTATTATTTATATTTACCGTTTATTATATGCACTTTTATTTATGGTCAAAGATTGTAAAAGCGAATTAGTTACAAATTACAATTATTTAATTACAGCGACTTTAACAACAGAATCAATAAACTTATTAAAATTGTAGTTGGTGACGCTGGTGTGTAGTTTATAATAAAAATTATGTTTGATCCATAGATACATATTTTGCTGGACCTATACGTCATATCTAATAGTTATTACTTTATTAGCTAAGTGCACTTTTTATTTAAAACCAAGTTTTAGCTGATACCTTTATTATTGTATTTGTATAAATAGATATACCATTGACGATTTGAATAAACAGATTTTTTTTTAACGATTTTGAATATTTTCACCATGAAAACATGAATTTTAGAATCATATAAATTATATAAATAAGGCGCGATGATTTATACGTGTTATATTTATTACGACGAAAAGTGAATAACGATTTTTTCGTATCTATTTTAATATTTTAATATTTTATTACGCTTTTTGATTAGACAGATTTTCGCACTTGCGATCACGTATTAAAAAATAAAATTAAAAATTAATGTCACGATAGCATTCATAATAATATATTATATATTATAGGTACATGTTATATTATTTATACGCCCACGAGTCGTATAATATTATTAACCACGTGACTCTATGCCTATACTTAATAATCGTGTGCCAAAAAAACGTTTATATATCCGCAAAATACGTATGCACACTACCCCTTAATCATAATAAAAATTGATAAAAACACCGAACCGTATATTTTTATATCGTAAATATTGGTGTAATACGCGCGTAGACAAATATAATATATGTATATTATAATAATATATATACATCGTCGTAAAATCTCTTTTGGCTTCTTACGCGGCTTGAATCCAAATTCCATGGCACACGCACACACTCACTCATATATATTTTATACTTGTGTATAGTATATGTATAACTATATAACACCGTTGTCGTCGACTTTTAAACACACACACACACACACACACACACATACATTTTTAATCACGCCTGTTTAAATCGCCTCGGAAAAATTGTATTACACGCTTATAAACCAACACGGCCAGAGTCTGTGTTTACGATCATCCGTCGCGAGGGAGATGATATTTTGTATACCTATTATGATATGTTGGGTGTATTCTTTTTTTCTAAATCTCTCTCTCTCTCTCGTTACAGCAGCATACTCTCCCATGTATATATATGTTATATAGTATATATCCACACGGGGATGATGTGTTTCGAGACGCGTGCGATATATGTTATAATGTACATATTATATGTGTATGAACACKCGAATCGGGGGTAAAGAATGACGTAAGCACTATAATCCCTCTATATTTGTCTTCCGTTCACAAACAACGTCCCAGGAAATACACAGAAACTCTGTAGAATTTTTTCGTATGAGAAAATATAATAGATTCCAGATTCCTGTGTTATATATATAATAACAACTTCGTGTGTACTTACTACTTACTAGTTACTACCCCTAATATATAATGATAGATGGTATTTTTAAACTTTAAAAATTGATATGCACATAGTAGGTACAGTTACAATTAAAGGATAAAATTTCCATCTATTTGGATTCCTGTATAGTACCTATAGGTACATTTAGATATATATACGTATACACGTGTCAAGTATATATTCGAACGAGACGTACTAACGCACACAAGCGCTAATATATATAAATATATACATATTTATATATAACTTCTAAACTACAGCAAAAAGCTTTCAGACGTCAAGAATAAAGTCTCTCGCCAAGAATAAATATATGTGTGAGCGCACTCGTGATACGACTTTGGCCGTAAAATCGCGACGACCGTCACCTTTTCACGAAAATACGTGACTCGAATCTTGTGTCGAACACGTTTTTACGGCCTTATATTATATTATATATTATATAGATGACGGATGCCGTCAGCGCCTTTCACGATTTGTCCTATCGCCGTGACATTGTATGCCCGACTTTAAAACATATAAGTTATTGGTACTTGGTGTATAGGTACCTATACTTAAACTTAGTATCATTTTTAGAGACCGAGAGTAAGTTAAAATTTCGGTATTTTCGTAATCAACTTACGAATAACATTATAACGCGATCTATACTGTGTGCTTTACTAAAATGGTAACATTTAATATTTCACTGATCAGTTACGTCGGACTGAAATGGGATTTTGAAGGAAGTATATATGGAATATAGAAATACTAATTTTTTGATAATTTTCAAATTTATAATTCTTTCAGTCTGCGCACGCGCAATATGACTTGCATTTTTCAAATAAAAACAGGTATTTTTAACACCTGAGTTGGTAGATCAATTTTTTAGGCAAATTTTATGCTTACATTTTTCCCCTATCTCAAAAATTGACTGATTTACAGCGAGTGAAACTTGAAACAAAAAAATATTTTTGTCCAATATTCTAAAATTTAATAATGTCTGTACCTACCTATTACCTATATCATTATAAAATTATTTATGATTGAATACAGAGTTCGTAGAATTAACTATTATTTACTAAATATTATCAACTAAAAATACCTATTGGTATTTGAAAAATGCACATTGTATTGTGCGTGCATAGACAAAGTTAAAACTTTGAAAATTATCAAAAAATGTTTATTTCAGTATCCCACAATTTTTTTTTTTTTTATTAATGATAGTAATGATACCCTCGGCAACATGGGCCATTGGGTTTACAGTGAGAAATATATATAAAAAAGAAAAAAATTACATGAATTGTATCTATATCTAAATTATACTAGATTTTAGTTAGAAAGTTGGCGGCTGTGATGCATTGTATGATGTTGGTAATGGATTGAGGATGGTTGTTTAATATTTCTGAAAGTGATGATTCGGGCAGTTTGAAGCTTGTTCGGGTATTGTCGGTATTGAGATATTATGTTCGGCAATCGGTGAGGATGTGTTTGATGGTTACTTGAACACCGCAGGTTGTGCATATTGGAGGKTCTTCCCTGGACATTAGAAAACTGTGGGAGATTTTTGTGTGTCCTATTCTCAGTCTGGTTATTTATCCCATAATATTATACTCACTTGAAAAACCCATTTCAGTCCAACGTAACTTAACAGAAATATTTTGTTTTACTATTTGAGTGAAATACACTGTATATTCATCGTTTCTTTAACTCGTAATATTATTGTTTTATTCTAATGCAATATAAACTATATAGGTAAGTAATCAATACCTGTGCCGTCAACAATGATTAAAATCGTTTTTTTTTTAATTCAAACATAAAATTAGCAATTAATTGCGTGGTACTTACCTACCTATCTATAATGTCATTTTTTTCTCACTTGAACATTTATATATAATACGCATAATACTATAATAGGTACCTATATTTATGAGCATGCCCTTAATAAGGTAGATATTTAATATTTATAAAATCCAGTTGCTTTACATAATAAATAGATGGACTATATACATTGCATTAAATCGTTTTGGCATGCCAAAAGTGGTGCACCACTTCCGTTGTATATTTATTTGTCCTCCCCTAGCCTAAACGTCAACGGTCATATATTGCTGCAGTTGGACACCGTCCATTCAACGTATCACCAGGCACCATATAATGTTTTATATGTATCATCTCAATTCTCAGTTATATATGCGCGCGTTTGCGCTTCAATTTAATTAACATGGTTTGGAACCGAATCAAACTGCTCGTCATAGTTTAAGGTCGTCAGTGAGTATTTTTGTCATTAAACGCGTTCACCCCAATAGAATTTACAACATCATACAGCGGCTTAACATTAAAATATGTTCTAAATTATACGTAACGTTTGATAAACGATTTTATAACTATTTATAAGCGAGTATAGCTGACCCCGTGCACAGCAATTCGTTACCCGTTAACAATGCGACTCTATAGATATAATGCAAACATTGTTCAATTCGATATCTAATATTTATTGTAATAATAGTATGTTCAACATTTAAAAAAAAAGACAAAAGATTTAATATCAAATTTGTGCAGGAAGGAAAAATGTCTATGGATCACTAATTATAAGTAGAAATAAACAAATATATGGTTATAAGTTATTGTGATCAAATATCAAATACATGTTAAAATAATATACAAGCATAATAACAATTTTATTTTATGTAACCTGCACTGGTAACCATTTGTAAACAAAATAAAAATTTTCAATTTCCATTGTGAATTTCAAAATCATTGTGTGCACACCTTTGTAAAATGCAAATTTAATACATTTTTTTTTACTTTCTTGATTCAACTTCTACGTGATAGCCATCATACTATATAGTTTATACTCTACATTGATTAGTCAGTCACTTAGTTCGGACGGACGTTCGATTAAAATTAGTGTATGTAATACCTACGTTTATATTATACACGTATAATA